TCCAATTTGGGTTTCCTCGGGTGCCTCATTTAAATGAATTATGTAAACGCTTTCCCCTCCTCTTTTGAGCGGGAGCCAGTCCGGCTGCTGCCCGATGTGTTAATCCCAGGAATAAAATAAAAAACAAGGGAGGCCGTGCATTAGAGGGAATAAAAGATGCTGGGGAGCCCCTGGAAGCACAGGGATGGCCGGAGCCAGGGTGGCGCCTCTGTCCCCACCACCCAGACCTGGGTGGCACTGAGGGCTCCTCCCTTCTCATGGTCCCAAACACTTGGTGACCCCAGGAGGCTCCTGTGCCCAGCCCTGGGGTTAAATCCCGTTTAATTCGGGAATGCAGGGGTCACAGCCACCTTCAGTGAGTGCTGCTTGGCTTTTCCTGGGCTCCCCAAAGTCACCCTGAACCGCCCCATCCATCCCTCTGGGGTGGCCCCCAGGGAGAGTAATTAAAACAATTAAAGCAATTAAAGCCACCTGAGGAGAGAATGGGGGTGTCCCTGCTCTGATGCCACCCCAGGCTGGAGCTGTGGCTGGGGCAGGGACAGGCAGGGAGGGGACCCAGCCCAGGGCAGCGTTTTCTGCTGAGCTGGAGGTGGCAGATGTTCACTGATGAATTATTCACCCGGAAAATTATCATGGAAATAGAAGGGGTTGGGTTGGAAGGGATCTTAAAGCTCAGCCAGTTTTATTCCTTGCCATGGCAGGGACACCTCCCAGGTGCTCCAAACACCATCCAGCCTGGCCTTGGGCACTGCCAGGGCTCCAGGGGCAGCCACAGCTGCTCTGGGCACCCTGGCAGAGCCCAAACCTCTCGAACCAGGCCTTGCCAGGCTACAAACCCCTGTGGCAAATGGCACTGGGGGCACCTGGAACCACCCAGGAAATCATTCTTTCCTTGCCTTTCTCCATTTGCTGCAATGGTTTTTGGTGCTGGTTTCCATCCTGGATTGAGGAATGGGAATGCCAGAGTGGTTTGGGTGGGAAGGGATCTTCAATGCCAGCTCATTGCAGCCCAGGGCCACCTCCCACTGTGCCAGGTGCTGCCAGCCCCAATGTCCAGCCTGGCCTTGGGCACTGCCAGGGCTCCAGGGGCAGCCCCAGCTGCTCTGGCAATTCCAGCCCAGCCCCTGCCCACCCTGCCAGGGAACAATTCCCAATTCCCAAGATCCCATCCAGCCCTGCCCTCTGCCACTGGCAGCCATTCCCTGCCTCCTGGCCCTCCATCCTTGGCCCCAGTCCCTCTGCAGCTCTCCTGGAGCCCCTTCAGGCCCTGCAAGGGCTCTGAGCTCTGCCTGGAGCCTTCTCCTCTCCAGGGGAGCACCCCCAGCTCTCCAAAAAGTGCAGCAGCTGCTGCTGCTTGTGGGGCCTTTCCCCTTTGGAGGTGACAGTCACCAGATGAAGGAAGTTTTCAGTCCCTCATGGCTCTGTGCCCGTGTCCCTCTCCCAGATCTCTCGTGGTTCCTCCCTTTTCCATCAGCCCCGTGGTGCCCAGCCCAGCTGGGTACCCCAGGGCAGTTCTGGGCACCAGGGGCTGGGTGCCACCTCCAGGGGCCATGGGACACTCCCGCAGCCTCTGCCTGACAGGCTGAGCTCAGGGTGTGCCCAGGGAGCTGCTTCCCTCCCTCCTCCCCCCTGCAGAACACGGCGTGTCTGGGCTGTGGATTGCACTGCTGAGAGGCAAATGCAGAACAGCCACAACTCTGTGTGGAGTCCAGAGCAGTCCCAGAGAGGAAAATGGGGCTCAGACTGCCCATGAGTCCCGCTCACATCATGCTTAGTTCTGGGGGATTTTGTGCCATCAATCCATCTTTTTTTTTTTTTTTTAATTTATTCCCAAAATACAGCCAGGAAGGCAAAAGCAGCCAGGCCTCGCTGTGGCTGGAGCTCCTGGGGTGCCTTGCACAGCTCTGGATTAGTTGGGTAGATAAATCCAGATGGATGGGTCAGACGGCACTGGGAACAACCTGCCCTGCTGGAATCCCAAACCCAGGGAAGGCACAGTCACCCCAGTGCCCTGCCTCGCTTTTCTGGCTCGTTTTGGGGTGCACAGGGCCTGGCACTGAGGTGGAGCTGCCAGGGGGCAAAGAACATTGTCCTGGAAAGAAATGGTGGAGGGAGACGTGATGGGGAAATAAATCTGGCAATGCCATCCCTGCCAGAACCTTCCCTGCAGGGACACAGGGGTACAGGGTGTAGGGTGCAGGGTGTAGGGACACAGGGGTGTAGGGACACAGGGGTGCAGGATGAAGGGTGAAGGGACACAGGGGTGTAGGGTGAAGGGTGAAGGGTGCAGGGTGTAGGGACACATGGGTACAGGGTGTAGGGTGCAGGGTGTAGGGACACAGGGGTGTAGGGACACAGGGGTGCAGGATGAAGGGTGAAGGGACACAGGGGTGTAGGGTGAAGGGTGCAGGGTGAAGGGTGTAGGGACACAGGGGTGCAGGATGAAGGGTAAAAGGTGCAGAGGGTAGGGTGAGGGTTACAGGGAGCAGGATGGGGTCCCTGGGTGCAGACTGGGAGTCCCTGGGTTCCGGATGGGATCACTGGGTGCAGGATGGGGTGCCTGGGTGCAGGATGGGATTACTGGGTGCAAGATGGCATCACTGGGTGCAGACTGGGAGTCCCTGGGTGCAGGATGGGGTCATTGGGTGCAGACTGGGGGTCACTGGACGCAGGATGGGGTCACAGGGAGCAGGATGGGATCACAGGGAGCAGGATGGGGTCCCTGGGTGCCGGATGGGGTCCCTGGTCGTAGGATGGAGTCGCAGGGAGCAGGATGGGGTCCCTGGTTGTAGGATGGAGTCGCGGGGAGCAGGATGGGGTCCCTGGTTGTAGGATGGAGTCGCAGGGAGCAGGATGGGGTCCCTGGGTGCCGCTCGGTGCCGCTGTCGCTCCGCGGGCTCGCAGCGCCATCGCGCGGCTGGAGCCGCCCCGCACGGGAACGGGAACGGGAACGGGAATGGGAACGGGAATGGGACTGGGAACGGGAATGGGACTGGGAATGGGAGTGGGAGCGGGAATGGGAACGGGAATGGGACTGGGAACGGGACTGGGAACGGGACTGGGAGTGGGAATGGGAACGGGAATGGGAACAGAACTGGGACTGGGAATGGGAGCTGGAATGGGAACGGGAATAGGACTGGGAATGGGAATGGGACTGGGAACGGGAATGGGACTGGGAATGAGATTGGGGCGCCCCAGGACGGGCTGCACGGTGGGCAGCGGGCACTGCCCGGCCCCGCGGCTCCGAGGGCAGCCCCCACCTGCACCAGTGCCCGCACCTCCTGCCAGGGGCCAGCCCCAGCACTGTGAGTGCCCCGCACGGAGCTCTCCCCATCCCCTGTGCCCATCCCCGGGCATGGTCTGCACCCCGCCTTGTGCACCCCCTTTGCTCACCACCACCACGGCTCTCGGGGTGTCACAGGCTGGCAGTGGGGTCCAGGGCTCCCAAAGCGATGCCAGCCCTGCCAGCTGTGCCCCCACCCTGCCATTGGGTCAGTTTAAAACATCCCACTCCCTCCTCCTTCCAGGCACCCACCCACCAGGAAAGACTCCAAACAGCCAAACCCAAATAAACCGTGTTTATTCCAAATGAGACTTGACTAACGAGGCAAAGAGCTGGGGCCAGGCCTGTGGGACCCTGAGCTGTGCCCCACAGGGGACAGGGAGCTGTGACACTGAGCTGTGACAGGGAGCTGTGACACTGAGCTGTGCCCCACAGAGGACAGGGAGCTGTGACACTGAGCTGTGACAGGGAGCTGTTCTCCAGAGAGCTCAGGGAGCTGTGACACTGAGCTGTGCCCCACAGGGGACAGGGAGCTGTGACACTGAGCTGTGCCCTGCAGAGGACAGGGAGCTGTGACAGGGAGCTGTGCCCCACAGAGGACAGGGAGCTGTGACACTGAGCTGTGACACTGAGCTGTGCCCCACAGGGAGCTGTGACACTGAGCTGTGCCCTGCAGAGGACAGGGAGCTGTGACAGGGAGCTGTGCCCCACAGAGGACAGGGAGCTGTGACACTGAGCTGTGACACTGAGCTGTGCCCCACAGGGAGCTGTGACACTGAGCTGTGACACTGAGCTGTGCTCCAGAGAGGACAGGGAGCTGTGACACTGAGCTGTGCCCCACAGGAGACAGGGAGCTGTGACACTGAGCTGTGCCCTGCAGGGAGCTGTGACACTGAGCTGTGCCCCACAAGGGACAGGGAGCTGTGACACTGAGCTGTGACACTGAGCTGTGCCCCACAGGGAGCTGTGACATTGAGCTGTGCTCCAGAGAGCTCAGGGAGCTGTGACACTGAGCTGTGCCCCACTGAGCTGTGACACTGAGCTGTGCTCCACAGGGGACAGGGAGCTGTGACACTGAGCTGTGCCCCACAGAGCTCAGGGAGCTGTGACACTGAGCTGTGACAGGGAGCTGTGACACTGAGCTGTGCTCCAGAGAGCTCAGGGAGCTGTGACACTGAGCTGTGACACTGAGCCGTGCTCCTGCTGGGACAGCCCCGGGCAGCTGGGGCCACCACTGAGGCTGGCACAGCAGGACCTCTGCCCCCAGCCACGAGTCCCCGTGGTTTGTTTCCCTCCAGGCTCTTTGGGGACACAACACGGGCCAGGGCCTGGGTCCTGGGACCCCACCAGACCCCAGAGACCCCAAAAGGCACCAACAGGGACCCATCCCTGACGGAGCACCAGCAGCTGGGGAGAACCAAACCCTCCCAAGGCAAGGCAGTGGTGTCTGCTGGGCAGAGAGGGTCTGGAGGCACTGCCCAAGGCACTACACAAACACGGAGATGATGAGAGCTTTAAAACCACCCTCAGGTATCTCTCAGCCCTTAATTTTCTCTGCTTGGCACTTCATCCTTTTCAAATTAAAACTAAAGAGCTGCAAGAAGGCACAACCCAGCACAGCAGCTCCAGCGTGCAGAGCGGAGGCTGAGGCAGAGCTGGGGCTGTCCCCAGCCTCGAGGGACAGAGCCACCATGGCAGCAGCACGGCCAGGGCCACCTCAGCTGAAGTCCCGGTCTGGCAGCAGCAGCGGAGCCACCAAGGTCCAGAGGTAGAGCAGGAGCCCGGCCCAGCTGGAGCAGATCTTCACCCACACGGCCGTCCAGGGGCTGCTCAGCGCCTGCAGCCTCTCATCCGGCCTGAAACAGCCACGGGAGGGTGGCACCCACTGCTGTGACACCCTGACGGTGCCCCGGAGGGATGGGTGCCCCCAGGGAACACCGGGGTGTGCCCCATGGCCGCTGCCACCCCAGGGTGTGACCCCAACACTGGAGCCATCCCAGGGTGTGACCCCACTGCTGTGGCCACCCCAGGTGTGACCCCAATGCTGCAGCCAGCCCAGGTGTGACCCCACCACTGCAGCCACCCCAAGTGACCCCACTTCTCTGGCCACCTCTGGGTGTGACCCCACTGCTTCAGCCACCCCGGGTGTGACCCCAGCACTGCGGCCTCGGTCCCTGCTCCCCCTCCTCCCAAGGGATCCCGGGCTGCAGCAGAGAACGCTGGCAGGCCCAGGCACAACCCTAATAATAATTAATGCCGCTAAGGGAGCACGTCCAGCAGCCTCACACATCTCAGCAGTGCCCAGCACACAGCACCCCGCAAGGAGGGGACCTGCAGGAACAGGGACAGCCCTGGGTGCCCGCGGCAGCTCTCACCTGTACCAGTTGGTGAGGGTCATCATGATGTAGAGGGCGGCGAGGAGGAGGCAGAGGTGGAAGAAGCTGTAGTTGTAGGAGACGCCGTCCTGCTCGTTGTCGTAGGCGCGGTGCACTCCGCCCTCCTCCGCCGCGCCCGGCCCGGCCCCGGCCCCGCTCTCCTCCGTCAGCATCAGTTTGTTCACCTGCGGGTGGTCCGAGCAGCGCAGGCTGCGGGCACAGCGGGGTCAGCACCACTGCCCCCATGGCGGGGCCGCTGTGCCCGGGGCAGTTTGGGGGGTGGAGGCTGTGGGGAAACCCTAAAAACTCTGCCTGTGGCCCTTAGCCAGCTCTGCAGCTCTCCTGGAGCCCCTTTGGGTACAGGCAGGGCAGTTTGGGGTAGGCAGGTTGTGGGGAACCCCAAAATCTCTGTCACCCTGGTCCAAAGCCTGTCGCAGACATCTTTTATAAAAAATCCTTTCCTTAGGATTTTTCCTCTTGAGAAGCTGAGAGGCCTCAGGAACAACATGTAACCAATGGTTATCTGCTGCTGTGGAATGCAACAGGTGCATCTGGGATTGGGCTCATGTGGTTGTTCCTAATTAATGGCCAGTCACAGTCAGCTGGCTTGGACTCTCTGTCTGAGCCACAAACCTTTGTTATCATTCTTTTCTATTCTATCCTTAACTAGCCTTCTGATGAAATCCTTTCTTCTATTCTTTCAGTATAGTTTTAATATAATATATATCATAAAATAATAAATCAGCCTTCTGAAACATGGAGTCAGATCCTTGTCTCCTTTCTCATCCAAGAGCCCCTGTGAACACGGTCACAAAAGCCTCTCTCCAGCTCGCTCAGGACCCCTTTGGGCACTGAAGGCTGACTGGAACCTCCAGATCAACAAAGAGAATGAAGGGCAAGGTTTTGCCCCTGGGTAGAACAGCCCCAGGCTCCAGTGTGGAATGGGGGGCACTCCTGGAAAGGCCCTGGGGGTGCTGCTGGGCTCCGGGGAACACGAGGCAGCAGCGAGTCCCTGCTGCAGAGGGTGAGAGGTGTCCTGGGCTGGACAGGCAAAGCTCTGCCTGCAGGTTGAGGGGTGGCATCCAGTGATCTGCTCTGATAAGGCCACCCCATGGCAGGGGTTCTGTCCTTGGGGCCATCCCCAGGACAGGCAGAGCCCTTTGGGGCTCTGGAGAAACCCTAAAACTGTGACTGTGGTCAGGCCTGTGTCCCTGGGGACAGGGATGGCTGGACAAAGAGCCTTTGGTGACAAAACCCCCAGGCCAAGGTGTGACCTCCCCTCCAGAGGCCGCTCCCATGGCTCTGGCTCAGGGCTGGGGCCGTTTGTGGGCCAGGGGGATGTGAGGGGCAGCAAGGACAAAAGCCATAAACCTGCAGCCCCTGCCAGCCTCCCCAGGGAGGCCGAGGGAGAAGCAAAGTGCAGCCCCTGCCAGGAAAGTTCCTCCTGTGGGGCCTCCAGAGGTGCTGCCCGAGCCCAGGGCACAAAGGCCTGGGTGCCTGTGGCCCTGCCAGCCCTTCCCAGCCCTTGGCCATGTGTCCTGCAGGCTGTGCCCCTGCGGCTGCACATGCCCAGGGGACAGGGCAGTCCCCAGGGACACACACTAAGTGCTCACCTGATGAAGAGGGTGCAGAGGATGAAGATCACCAGCCCCACGATGCTCGGGGCGTCCCACCAGGTTGTCAGGGGCTCGGTGGCCGTGGCTGAGCCAGTGCTGTTCCTCAGCAGCAGCGTGGGGTTACAGCGCTGGCCTGGGGGGACACAGAGGGACAGAGCCCACTGCAGTGAGTGCTCCTGCCCCAGCCATCCCTCCCCAAAGCCCAGGCAGGTCTGGCTTACTCGGCACGTTGGCCAGGGCGGCCCAGGTGATGTAGATGGTGTAGAGGGTGATGAGGGATGCCTGCAGCAGCCCCGAGTGTGGCTGAGCCTCCTGCAAACACAACAGTGGGTGCTGGGGGTGCTCCTGTACCCCAGGGTGACACAGCCCCAGCTGCTCCTGTACCCCAGGGTGACACAGCCCCAGCCCCGTTGGTGCTCCTGTACCCTGGAGTGACACAGCCCCGGGTGCTCCTGTACCCTGGGGTGACACAGCCCCGGGTGCTCCTGTACCCCGGGGTGACACAGCCCCGGGTGCTCCTGTACCCTGGAGTGACACAGCCCTGGGTGCTCCTGTACCCTGGGTGACACAGCCCTGGGTGCTCCTGTACCCTGGAGTGACACAGCCCTGAGTGCTCCTGTACCCCAGGGTGACCCAGTGCTCCCCAACGGCCTCACCTGGATCTTGGGCAGGATGGACACCACCGAGACAATGAGGCAGAGGATGAGGTTGATGCTGATGAAGGCCTTGCCCTCCGTGCAGCCCTCGGGCTTGGTGTAGTAGACGTAGAGCAGCACAATGGCCGCGATGGAGGCGGCGTAGAAGATGAAGGTGACAGTGCAGAGGGCTGGGGGAGGACACCAAAGAGGCTGGAGCAGTGTCACACACATCTTTTATGGAAAATCCTTTCCTTAGGATTTTTCCTCCTGAGAAGCTGAGAGGCCTCAGGAACAAAATGTAACCAATGGTTATCTGCTGCTGTGGAATGCAACAGGTGCATCTGGGATTGGTCTCATGTGCTTGTTTCTAATTAATGGCCAATCACAGCACAGCTGGCTGAGACAGAGAGTCCGAGCCACAAGTCTTTGTTATCATTGCTTCTTTCTTTTTCTATTCTTAGCCAGCCTTCTGATGAAATCTTTTCTTCTATTCTTTTAGTATAGTTTTAATATAATATATATCATAAAATAATAAATTAAGCCTTCTGAAACATGGAGTCAGATCCTCATCTCTTCCCTCATCCAAGATCCCTGCGAACACGGGCACAGAGCAGAGCCCCCAGCCCGGCCCTGGGATGATCTGAGCCCCAGGGCACGGGTGCCCAGCAGACCCACCTGCGTACCAGCCCTTGGCACTGCCCTGCTCCGCGTTGTGCAGCCAGCGCTGGCTCCAGGAGTGCGCCAGGTCAATGAGCAGCACCAGCTGGATGAGGATGAACAGGAAGGAGCCGACCACACCGAAGTAAAACCAGACTTGAGGGGAGGAGAAAACCATGGAAGAAGGTTTTGAATTAAGACCTTAGAATCGACAAGACTTTTTCGAACAATGATTTGTAACCATTGTCAGGTGTAATTTATGCCCTTTCAACTGACTAGACTTTCACAGCATTAAATTGCTTGTGTTGTAATATAGCAATGCTTAGTGCAAGCAAGAAAAGGCTTTAAGCAGGTAAAAAGCAGAAATATTATAGTAAAGCTATGAAATGCAAGTAATAAACGACACGATTATGAAAGTTTCTTTTTAGGTGAACAGAGAGGGGGAATTGTGGGAATCCACAAAATTACAGGGTTTTGGGAAAGCTGCAAAAGGCAGGCCTCAGAGACAGCAGAACTGTGATTAGAGCTAAGCAGTAGCCATGAGATAGGTCAGCAGAAAATTATTTAAACTGTAGAAAAGCAAGGACAAATAGAACAATGGTCTGTGTATTAATGCTTGTCTAGAATAACTCTCTAAGCTACAGAAAAGTTTATCTAGCAAGTTATTAGCAATGTTGAAGCTTAATAATAGAGCTCTGTGCATTGTGTTTTAAGGCTTACAAGCAGGTATTGTATTCGAAATAAGCAAGCATTGCTTTAACCAAAGGTACCTGTGCTTATAGTGGTTGGATAGAACTACTGTCAATGTGCTTTTGTTTTGTGTGATTGGTCAAAAAACTTATAAAGTGAGTTGTAACATTAAATTCTTGGTCTACTGCCTGAGATGTGAGCTGCTGGCATCTTCCCATTGTCATAATCATGTAATGAGACTGATGCTGGAAAATAAACAGCTCAAGGCACATTCACAGCAGCCCCGTCCTGTTTGTGATTTGTACAGAGCCCCCAGCCAGCATCAGTGCCCAGGAGGGCACGGGCAGCTCCTCACCTGAGGTGAAGGCACCGTCGGGGATGTAGAAGGCGCCCACTGTGATCCCCACCAGTATCAGGAACTTGAAGAACCAGAAGCTGTGGGAGGAGAGAGGAGGCACAGTGTGCACATGGCAGGGACAGGGATGGGGGTCCTGCCTGTCCCCACCCCAGGCTGTTGGATAGAAGTGGAAATAGGATGGGGGTGGAGAGGCTTGCTAGGGTTAGGAGTATGAATGTGTTTAGGACTAGTGAGAGGTCCATTACTTTCACTTGGATTTGCACCAAGATGAGTGGCTCCTAAAACCATTGGATTCCTATTATCCTTTGAAAGTAAGGAGACTGAGATTTTATACTTGTTCCAGATTGCAATGCAGGATGTGTCCATTGCCATCTGTAGGGCAGATTATCTTTTGTCAAGTGGGCAGTTTGCCTTATCTCTCTCTCTGAGTGACCACATTCACTCCTCCCTCGGGAGGGGACACCTGCTGATAACAGCTCTGGAATGTCCCTGCATGGCTGATAAGAACTACAGCATCCCATTGGCAGATGGGAGCCCAGAGGGAGGAGCCAAGCATTCCTACCCGGATAGAATCTGGAGATTCTGGAACACCAGCACAGCTTCTGCACTGCATTGCCCAGAGGAACAGCAGCTGCCTCTTGCCCTGGATCTGCAGAGGCAGAGACTGCACCTTTCTCCAGGATCCCTGCTCCAGCAGAACCAGCCCTGGCACTGCAGGAGGGCTGAGCCACAATTCCAATGGTTCTGCTGCCAACAGCCAGGCAGGGTGTCAGGCTGGGTTCTGCTGACCCACAGGGTGTCAGGCTGGGTTCTGACTCTGGCACTGTTGCTTTAGTTCACTGCATTCTTTATTTTATCCTTTTTTTTTTCTTCCCTATTAAAGAACTGTTATTTCCTGCTCCCATATTTTTGCCTGAGAGCCCCTTAATTTAAAATTTACAGCAATTCAGAGGGGTGGGGAGGGTTTGCATTGTCCATTTCAGGGGAGGCTCCTGCCTTCCTGAGCAGACACCTGTCTCTCCAAACCAAGACAATACTCAGATACAAGCGCTATCCTTTGGTGTCCTCCCGCACTCACCCGTTCTGCAGGGCGGCCCGCGGGTCCTTGCTGCTGCGCACGCACACCATGAGCACGGCAAAGAGGCAGAAGAAGGCGGCCATGGCGAAGCCCATGCGATACACGGCCTTGTGGCCCAGGAAGCTGCTGCAGTCCACCTTGGTCTGGACCCCCAGCACCGAGCCACTGCCTTCACAGAAACCGGGGAGCTGAAACAGGGATGGGAGCGTGAGCATCACCTCAGCACATCCTATGGGGAGTGGTGTTGTGGGAAGGTCTGGATTGGAGATCTACTGGTTGGATTAAAGATCAGCTTCTCCACTGTGAAGCAGCCTCAGCTGTGGCTGCCCCTGGACCTCTGGAAGTGTCCCAGGCCAGGTTGGACAGTGTAGCCACATTTCTCCTCACAGAGAAAAGCAAAGCACAATTCTTCCCAAAGATATTTCTGGGTTTCACATTCTCTGAACCTCAGAGAAAGGGAAAACAATTCTTATCTCACTGACTGCTCCTGTGTTGTTCACAAGTGGAATGCATTGTGGAAGATTGTTTACCTGAAGGGAATTGGTGATTGGATTCTGCTGTGAGTGTTGTGATTCACTGAGCCACTGGATCCAGGTGTGTGTGTGGGGACTGTCAGCTGACAGTCATGACATTTTGGGCAGTTGTGTGCAGAGTTGAGTGCTTGGCAGATTCAGTTTAGATGTAATGTAATATAGATGAAATATAGAATAGAATAATATAGTAAAATAATTAATTAGCCTTCTGATAAGATGGAGTCCTCCTCGTCATTTCTCCCTTCATCAGGGGCAAAAATATCTATGCTAGGACAGGGCTTGGAGCAGCCTGGGACAGTGGAAGGTGTCCCTGCCCATGGCAGGGGGTGGAAGGGCTTTGAGTTCCTTTCAACCCAAACCATTCTGTGAATCCACACCCACCACGAGCCCTGGTGCCACCAAGGATGGGCCAGACCATGACTGCTCCAATGCCACTTGCCTGAGGTGACACAGATAAAGCCACCCAGCTGGTCAGTGGAAAGCTGGCATGAACCAGCTCGTCCCTACAGCCCAACTCAGCTGGCAGAGCTCTGCTCCTCCTCCTGAAGTCCCTCCTCCACAACGTGCATCAGTGGAACCCCAAGTCATCAGCTGAACCCCCAAAAAAAAAAGTTGAACCCCAACGTGCATCCCCCAAGTCATCAGCTGAACCCCAAAAACGGGATGTAGGAAACTTTCCTGGGAGACATCTGGGAAAACTAAAAATTGCATTAAATGATCCCACTGCGTTTTCCTCTCCATGGAAAACCAGGGCTGATAATGCCTGCTCCCAGTGAGATGCTCAGAAAAAAGAGGAACAAAAGCACATCATGACCCAAAAATTCACCTTTTTGGTTCAGCCCCAAGTCCCCACCACAAGCTGGGTCGTTTCTTCCCAGCGACCTCCAGGAGTTCTTTACCTTGTGCAACTCCTTCTCCACGCCCGGGATTATCATGATGATGGACACGAGGGTGCCGAGGAAGAGGAAGAAGGTGAAGAGGAGGCGGGAGATGGTGGAGTTCTTGGCCGAGGGGCAGCAGCCACAGAGCAGGCAGGGGGCAGAGCCACAGAGACACGACACCTGCAAGGAGAGCAGTAATGAGAAGAAGAAGAGAAACTTGCCCCAAAATACGTGCCCAGTTTGATCCTTAAGGAGATCAGCCTAGGAATCCACACTGCTGCCTGGAGCTACTCACACCACAACCCACAGCGCACAGGACCTCATGGAAATGGCACCAAATTCCCCAAAATGTTGCTGAAAACCAAAAGAGCTGCAGGAACAGCCAATAGAAAATGACATCCAGAGTCTGGAGATACCCCCATGGTTTTTGCTCCATGCAAGGACCTGGTCAAAGCAAGCCCTGCCCTGCAGGAGCCTCCTTTTTGTACAAAAATGAAGTTTCCAAGACAATTTCAGGCTGCCCTTTCCGTCAAATCCAGGATGGGTGATATTGATATCAGCACCATGGGGGAAGCAACTCATCCTGCCATCCTTCCCCTCTGCAAAGGCCACTTGACAGGTGGGGAAACTGAGGCACAGCATCCCCAAGAGTCCCCTGGCACCCCAAATCCAGCACAGGCAGTGCTGCCAGGTGCACCCCATTCCAGAGACTCCCATGGCTGTGCCGGAGCAGGGAAATCCTGGCTGAGGAAACCCAAACTCACTGATACCAAAACATTGGTGGGAGTTTGCTGTGCAGGGACAGTGCAGGATAAACCTTGGAACAGCTCCTCCTCTCCTGGACTTCAGCACAGCAGGCAGGGGAAGGGCTCTGCTCTCTCCTCTGTTGAGGGATGTGCACGAGTTGTGTGTTTATTATGGCCACGTGCTTCCAAATCAGGGCCTGCACTCAGTGTTAATTAAAGATGGCTCAGTATTGACTCGAATCTACATTTCTCATTGTTGGAATCAGCATAAAAAAAGGACATGGCAAAAAAAAACAAAACCAGGTGTGGAGCTGCTGTGTGTGGCTCCCTCAGCACAAGTGACCACTTTGATGCCCCCAAATCATCAAAGGTGGCTTTCAATATTTTTTAAGCATAAGCACACCATTATTTGTGAAAAATCCACTCCTTCTTGACTTATTCCTCTTATCCCATGCCAGCCCCACATGCCTGCCCCATGAACATCTGTGTTGAGTTGATGGTACCCACAGGAGCTGGGGTGGGTGTGAGACCCGAGGTATCCCATGGGAACTCTCATCCTGCCCCTCCAGGAGCTGCTCAGAGGCATCACATCATGTTTTCAACTTGGAAGCATGGGAAAATGGCTTTCAATTAGAGACTGCTTCATTTCAGCCTCATTAAATGCACCACGTGCACCAGAGTGCATTAAAATGCACCAGCATTACTGTATTTCCCTTCAAATTAAAAAAGAAATGCAGAGCAACAACAAAAATCCCTTTAAATGCAGAATTACTGCATCATCTGATGCAGCAAAGCCCCTGAGTGCTCCATCCACACCCCCAGCTCCTCCTCATTCAGTGCCAACTGAAACAAAAAGCACCAGTCCCAGAATCAGCAGATCCTGACAGGAAAATCAGGAGGTTTGGTGCTGCTTAGGAAGGTGTGGATTTGGGGGTTCAGACCATCCCATCCCACCCCAGCCATGGCAGGGCCACCTCCCACTGTGCCAGGTGCTGCCAGCCCCAATGCCCAGCCTGGCCTTGGGCACTGCCAGGGCTCCAGGGGCAGCCACAGCTGCTCTGGGCATCCTGGCAGAGCCCAAACCTCTCGAACCAGGCCTTGCCAGGCTACAAACCCCTGTGGCAAATGGCACTGGGGGCACCTGGAACCATGCAGGAAATCATTCTTTCCTTGCCTTTCTCCATTTGCTGCAATGGTTTTTGGGGCTGGTTTCCATCCTGGATTGAGGAATGGGAATGCCAGAGTGGTTTGGGTGGGAAGGGATCTTCAATGCCAGCTCATTGCAGCCCAGGGCCACCTCCCACTGTGCCAGGGGCTGCCAGCCCCAATGTCCAGCCTGGCCTTGGGCACTGCCAGGGCTCCAGGGGCAGCCCCAGCTGCTCTGGCAATTCCAGCCCAGCCCCTGCCCACCCTGCCAGGGAACAATTCCCAATTCCCAAGATCCCATCCAGCCCTGCCCTCTGCCACTGGCAGCCATTCCCTGCCTCCTGTCCCTCCATCCTTGGCCCCAGTCCCTCTGCAGCTCTCCTGGAGCCCCTTCAGGCCCTGCAGGGGCTCTGAGCTCTCCCTGGAGCCTTCTCCTCTCCAGGGGAGCACCCCCAGCTCTCCCAGCCTGGCTCCAGAGGGGCTCCAGCCCTGCAGCAGCTCCGTGGGCTCCTCTGGATTCTCTCCAACAATCACAAGGTTTTTGGGAGCCTGCAGCATCCCTGGATGTTTGTTTTGCAGGATGACTCTCACATAGCCAAACTCCCTGGTTGTGTTTCAGGTTTCACAGGTCTTGCAGCCGCTGAGGTAACAGGATACAGCATCTCCATTCCACTGCTCTGCTCTGTCACACGGGAATCCTGTGGATTCCTTTCAGGATCACTCCCTCAAAGCTCCTTTGCAGTGAAGCTGAGGAACCCTTTGTGCCCCACACTGACCCCTCCAGCTGCCCGGACACTCCTGATTCCAGTCTTTTTCTTTTAAAAACAATGGTTAGCAGCAAGGAACACACTCCCAGCAGTGCTGGGCACTCTGATTCTCCTTCCAAAGATTTTTAAAGCTGCCCCAAAATGTGAACACGTGAAGGGACAAAGAGCAGGATGGAAAAAGCCAGCGAGGGAAGTGGCTGCAGCAGCAGGAGAGCGGGGGTTAATGAGGAAGTGTTGGTTTTCAGCTGCTGGTGGATGATTAAACTCTCCGGTTTCACCGGCGACTTCCTCCTTGAGTGCAGCTCACCTCAGTGGGGCTGGCATGTCAGGGCTGCTGTCATCCCTCCTGCCCAGGGCAGGACAGCATGGACAGAGCATGGGGACAAGGGACATGACACATGGGCCCCAAATACACCCATACAGCAACAGCACCCCAAAAACTGCGCCCCAAATACACCCACACAGCAACAGCACCACAAATACACCCAGACAGCAACAGCACCTACAAACAGCACCCCAAATACACCCATACAGCAACAGCACCCCAAAAACTGCGCCCCAAATACACCCATACAGCAACAGCACCCCAAAAACTGCACCCAAATACACCCACACAGCAACAGCACCACAAAAACTGCACCCCAAATACACCCATACAGCAACAGCACCCCAAAAACTGCGCCCCAAATACATCCATACAGCAACAGCACCACAAATACACCCACACAGCAACAGCACCACAAAAACTGCACCCTAAATACACCCACACAGCAACAGCACCCACAAACAGCACCCCAAATACACCCATACAGCAACAGCACCCACAAAAAGCACCCCAAATACACCCATACAGCAACAGCACCCCAAAAACTGCACCCCAAATACACCCATACAGAAACAGCACCACAAATACACACAGACAGCAACAGCACCCCAAAAACTGTGCCACAAATACACCCACACAGCAACAGCACCACAAATACACCCATATAGCAACAGCACCCAGCAACAGCACCCCAAAAACAGCACCCCAAAAACTGCACCCCAACAATTTCACCCCAACAGCACCCAAACTCTACCAGCCCAACTACACCAACACCAGCCCAACACAACTGATCAAACTACACCAATCCAACACCACCATCCCAAAAATATCATCCAGCAACATCACCCCAAACCCACCAGCCCAACACCACCATCTCAACACCAATCCAAACCCACCCACCTAACATTACATTAATAACACCAACCTACACCTCCAGCACAATTACATCATCCCAACTCCACCACCACAACAGCCCAACCACACCAACATCAGATCAACTACAGCAACCCAACTACACCTGCCCAACACCGCCCCAACCACAGCCCAACTACACCAACACAACTGACCAAACAACCAACAACAGCAACCCAAAAACAGCCACCCAACATCAGCCCAACAACACTGACCCACACTACCAGCCCCACTACACCACCCCAACTACATCCTCCCAACAACAGCCCGACTACACCAGCCCAACATCAGCCCAACAACTCCAGCCCAACACCAACCCCACTACACCACCCCAGCAATACCAACTCAAACATACCCACCCAATATCACCCCAAACCACCCAGCCACACCACCAACCCAACTACACCACCCCAACAACAGCCCAACTACACCAACACCAGCCCAATACAACCAAACTCCACCAACCCAACATCAACCCAAAAACACCCAGCCAACATCAGCCCAACTCTATCACCCCACACCCTCACCCCAACACCACCAACCCAAGAACACCAGCCCCACTATGTCACCCCAGTACCAACTCAAAAACACCCACCCAACAACACCCCACACCACCAAGCCAACTACACCACCCCAGTTACATCACCCCCAACAACAGCAGCCCAACCACACCAACCAAACTACACCAGCCCAACAACATCACCCCAAAAACACCCAGCCAACATCACCCCAACAGCACTGACCCACAGCACCACCCCAACAACACCAACCCAACTACACCAGCCCAATTACACCACCCCAATAACATCACCGCAGTTACACCACACCAACTATACCACCCCACTACAACCCAACTTACACCACCCCAACTACCCCACCCCAACTATACCATCCCAATAAAATCACCCCAACTACACCATCCCAGTTACACCACCCCTGCATCACCCCAGTTACATCCCCCAGCTACACCACCCCAACTATACCACCCACTACAACCCAACTACACCACCCTAATTACACTACAACCCAACTACACCATCCCAGTTACACCATCCCCACCACAACCCAACTACACCACCCCAGGTACACCATCCCATCTACACCACCCCACCACCACACCTCCAGCTGCCTTCACCCCAGCAGTCCCAGGTACACCCAGAGTGAGTCAACCCAAAGCGATGCTGAGCAGCCGGTGTTTGTCTGCTGCCAAATTAACGAGCAGCAGGTTAATCAGCGCCATCCCACCCCATCCCCAGGTTAATCAGCACCATCCCACCCCATCCCCAGGGTAATCAGTGCCATCCCACCCCATCCCCAGGTTAATCACTGCCATCCCACCCCATCCCCAGGGTAATCAGCACCATCCCACCCCATCCCCAGGTTAATCAGCACCATCCCACCCATCCCCACAGCCTGGGGAGCTGGTGGCCTTCCTGCCTGGCAGGTGGCCTTGGATTGGTGCCACCAGGTTGAGTGTCCCCAGGTGTCCCACTCTGGCTGTCCTCCAGGCTTTGCTCTGGCTGGAGCAGCCTTCTGCTGGTAACCCCAAGCCTGTCACCCAGAAAAGCAGCTCAGAATGACCACCCTGCTCATGGCAGCCATGGGCAAAGCCTGGAGGACCACAGGAGGCAGGGACAGAGAAATTCTCCTTTTGTGATTCAAGGTTTCACTCAGGAGCAGCTTGTATGGGAAAGCACAGAAGGAAGGCTTGGCAATCTCGTGGTGCTGTGACTCAAGGGATGCAGGCAGAGCAGAGGAGTTAGTCAGGATGTTCTTGTTAAAAATAACAAAAAAAAAAAAAAAAGACTAAGGGGGTTGTTCAGTTTGGTTTGGGTTTTTTTCAGTGTTTTGGCTCTTCAGACCGGTGCTAGAACAGCCCCACCAACCAGGCCCACTGGAAGGAACAACAAAATTAAGCAAAAGCTTCTTAAAAGTAATTATTTTTAATAATTACACAGACTAGGGGGAATGTTTCATTCAGTTTGGGGGTTTTTTCAGTGTTGTTCTTCAGCTCAGACCTGTACAAAACCAGCCCCTGCATCAACGACTTCCACAGGAAGGAACAGGAAAATTAAACCTATACAATGACTCTACTGTTACCACAGTCTGAGCCACAACAGTTTTTGGGGGGGAAATAAATCCAGAATCCATACAGAAACCTCCACAGGCCTGCACTGGGGTAACTCCCTGCTTCCCCAATTCTCCATAAGGAGAAGCACAGGAATGTGTTACAGAGGGGGGGCCTTGCAGACCACCCCACCCCTCATTTCCAAACATCCTGTTCGTTAAACCCCCAGCACTCAGAGGGCAAGTTACAAAACAGGTCCCATTCCCAGGTTTCCAGGCCAGCAGCTCCCAGGCTGTTCCACAGCCCTGCCCTGGCTCTGTGCCCACAGGTGAGGCAGTGCCAGGGCAGGAAGTGCTGCTGTGGGCAGGTGCCTGCGTCACCCCAAGCACAGACTCCACGTCACAGGGCACAGCACCCTGAACACTCACCTGAGCCTGCCCTGGGCCATGGCACCCCAAATCACACACTGTGCTCCTGTCCTGGGCCATGGCACCCCGAATCACACACTGTGCTCCTGTCCTGGGCCATGGCACCCCAAATCACACAGTCTGAGCCTGCCCTGGGCCATGGCACCCCAAATCACACAGCCTGTGCCTGCCCTGGGCCATGGCACCCCAAATCACACACTGTGCTCCTGCCCTGGGCCATGGCACCCCAAATCACACACTGTGATCCTGTCCTGGGCCATGGCACCCCAAATCACACTCACCTGTGCCTGTCCTGGGCCATGGCACCCCAAATCACACTGTGATCCTGTCCTGGGCCATGGCACCCCAAATCACACACTGTGATCCTGTCCTGGGCCATGGCACCCCAAATCACACAGCCTGTGCCTGCCCTGGGCCATGGCACCCCAAATCACACACTGTGCTCCTGCCCTGGGCCATGGCACCCCAAATCACACACTGTGATCCTGTCCTGGGCCATGGCACCCCAAATCACACTCACCTGTGCCTGTCCTGGGCCATGGCACCCCAAATCACACTGTGATCCTGTCCTGGGCCATGGCACCCCAAATCACACACTGTGATCCTGTCCTGGGCCATGGCACCCCAAATCACACAGCCTGAGCCTGCCCTGGGCCATGGCACCCCGAATCACACACTGTGCTCCCGTGTCCTGGGCCATGGCACCCCAAATCACACTCACCTGTGCCTGCCCTGGGCCATGGCACCCCAAATCACACAGCCTGTGCCTGTCCTGGGCCATGGCACCCCAAATCACCTGCCCTGGGCCATGGCACCCCGAATCACACACTGTGCTCCTGCCCTGGGCCATGGCACCCCACACACAGCCCCCTGCACCCCTGTCCCAGCTCCTTCTCTTCCTCCATCCCCACTTTGGGGCTCAGCAGAGGAGCCAGGCAGGACCCCCAGGCTCTCATTGCATGGTGGGGCCAGGACACCCCCACTCCTCCAGGGCCAGCAGGACATGGCTGCTGTGGCTTCCCACCTCCCCCAGGTGCCCTGGGGTGCACCACCCACCCCATTCCCTCCCCATTCCCCTCACCGTGGGCGCCAGAGCTTTCTGGAGTGAGCTCTCTGTGTCTCCCATGGATACCCCGGCTGCAGTGGGACCCCCTGCTCCGAGAATCCCCCACACCCCCCCAGGCACCGAGGGATGCACCCCCTGAACCCCCCCACATCCAGGGGTGTAACCCCGGGTGTGCCCCACATCCAGCTGGTACACAGGGGAGCATCCCCCGGGGGTCCCCTGCATCCCCCCGGTTACACAGGGCAGGGAGCATCCCCCGGGGGTCCCCCCATACCCAGGGGTGGCTCCTGCCGGGGCTCCCCCATATCCCCTGCGTACACAGGGGTGCATCCCCCATGGGTACCCTGCATCACCCTCCCGGCATCCCTTGGACCCCTCCGCGCCCGGGTGTGGCGGGGCACATCCCCGGGGTGTCCCTCAGTCCCTCGGGGTGTCCCTCAGCCCCCGGGGTGTCCCTGGACGCTCCTCGCCCGCCCTGGGCCGCGCCCGCCGCTGCGGCACCGCCAGTGCTCAGCGCTCCCCCCGCTCCGGGCGGGCACTCACGCAGCTGAGCAGGGAGCAGACCCCGAGACAGGCCCCCATGGTGCTGCTGCTGCCGCCGCTCCCGGTCCCGCTCCCGGTCCCCTCCGCCGCCGCCGCCGCTGCTCTGGCTCCGCCCGGACCGGGAGCTCGGGGCGGCCGCGCCCGCTGCGCCTCCCCCGGGGCGGCCCCTACGGCAGCGGAGGGAGAGCGGAGGGGTTCGGGCCCTCTCTGCCCTCAGGGGAGCCCCTCCATGGCCGCTGCATCCTCACCCCACCCTCCGCTCCACAGCCCCCTCTCGCCCTTTCATCGTCCCCCATCGCCCCTCCGTCCCCGGGTACCGCCGAGGGGACCCCACCGGCACCATGGGGACATGGCCAGGGCTGGGGAGATGGCCAGGAGACCTGTCTGGGCTGGAAACAGCCCGCGGGAAGGGGTCATGGAATTCCAGAAGGGTTTGGGTAGGAAGGGACCTGAAATCCCCTCCAGTGCCACCCCTGCCATGGCAGGGACCCCTCCCACTGTGCCAGGTGCTGCCAGCCCCAATGTCCAGCCTGGCCTTGGGCACTGCCAGGGATCCAGGGGCAGCCCCAGCTGCTCTGGCAATTCCAGCCCAGCCCCTGCCCACCCTGCCAGGGAACAATTCCCAATTCCCAAGATCCCATCCAGCCCTGCCCTCTGCCACTGGCAGCCATTCCCTGCCTCCTGTCCCTCCAGGCCTTGTCCCCAGTCCCTCTGCAGCTCTCCTGGAGCCCCTTCAGGCACTGGGAGGCTGACTGGAGCCTCAGGAAGTTCAACAAGGTGAAAGGACAAAGTGACAAAGTTTTGGCCCTGGGGAAAACAATCCCAGACTCCAATATGTGGTGGTGGGCACTCAGCTGGAAAAGAGCTCCAGGAAAGGCCCTGGGGGCAGCACAGGGCAGCAGCCAGTCCCTGCTGCAGAAGCTCAGAAGTGTCCTGGGCTGGTCAGGCCCAGGGAGAGGATCCTGTGGGCAGCACTGGTGAGGCCACCCCAGAGTGCTGTGTCCAGTTCTGGGCTCTCCAGAACAAGAGAGATGTGGGTGAGCTGGAGAGACTCCAGCAAAGGGCCATGAAGGTAATGAAGGGTCAGGAGTATCTCATGTGTGAGGAAATGCTGGGAAGCTGGGGCTGATGGGCCTGGAGAGGGGTTTGGGGGATCTCACCAATGTATAGAAACACCCACTGCTCTACCCAGCCACTGGAGGAGTTTGTCAGGTTGGCTGAGCTTGGCTTCCCCTGATCTGTCATCCTTAATGCCTGGAAATGCTTCCCAGGATTAGCTCCACCACCTTCCTAGGGACTGAGGAGAGGTTGATGTATCCACAGCTCCCTGGCTCCTCCCTGCCCTTCTGGAAGCGACATTTGGTTTCCTGCAGCCTTCCAGACTCTTCTCTCCATCCCCAGGAGCAGTGAAAGGTTGCTGAGAGCAGCTCCCAATGCCACCAGTCCCTCCCTCACCCCTCAGGGTGTCCCAGCAGGACTGAAATGGTTTCAGTTTGCTGCAGCATGCCCTGGTCCGAACCCTCTCCCATGGAGGATCTGTCTGCCCTGGTGCAGCCTTTCCAGTGGGATCTCTGGGTTCTCTGGAACCTGAGGATGAGGCTGGCAAGGGGCAAAGGCAGCATTCCTTTTCTTTGCCTCAGCCATTCCCCACTATGGGATCCACAGAGAATGCCCTGATGAAGGCAGGAATGATGAATCAGACTCCATCTTCTCAGAAGGCTAATTTATTACTTTATAATACTATAATTTATAATTTTAATTTCTATTATTTAATATTTAATTTATATTATTTAATATTTATATTATACTATTTAACTTAATTTTTATTTTAATTTATAATTTATTATTTATATTTATTATTTTATAATACTATATTATATTAAAGAATACTAAACTATGCTAAAGAATACAGAAAGGATACTTACAGAAGGCTGAAAAGATAACAGTGAAAAACTCCTGACTCTCTCCAGAGTCCTGACACAGCTTGGCCCTGATTGGCCAAAGAGTGAAAACAACTCCCAGCAGAATCCAATGGAACAATCACCTGTGGGTAACCAATCTCCAACCACATTCCACATGAGCAAACACAGGAGAAGCAAATGAGATAAGAATTGTTTTCCTTTTCTCTGAGGCTTCTCAGCTTCCCAGGACAAACCCTGGGCAAAGGGATTTTTCCAGAGAATGTGAATGCCACACCCCAGCTCACAGAGCAATGGATCTGTGTTTTACCTCATCTTGGCTTTCCCTCCTGCAGGAGCCCTTCTTGCTGGATTTGACAGCACAGATTCCAGCTCCAGCATTCCCACCACCCCCAGCCCACCCAGCAGCCTGGACCCAGTCCCCTGCAGGGCCAGACCCGGGGCAGGGGGCTCAGGGTGGCACTGAGCAGGTTTTTCCTGCTCTTCCTGCCCAGTCAGAGCCTGGCTGCCCTCCCGGGGCAGTGAGTGCTCTGCCGTGCATAATTCAGGGCTGGGATAAACCGGGAGGTGCCAGCCCACATCCAGAGCCTAAATTTAGACAGAGGAGAAAGTCCATGAGTGTGTGACAGCAGCAGACTCGGGGGCACAGGGCTGGGGCCACATGTCCCCTCTGTCCTTGAGGAAGAGGAGGGTGTCACACTTCTTGCTCCAGAGGTAAAACTCCGGGTTTGGCCCCTGATCAGCAGTTGGCACAAACCAATGAAGGATTATCTGAGCCTCTGTGGGCTCCCAGAATCTGCTGGCAGGACACAGCCCTGCAACAGGAGAGGTCAGCACCCGAAAACTGCGCTCTGATCTCAGCTGCTCTCAGGTTTCTCCTTTCCGGAGGCGCTGGGCGGGCACATCCTGCCCCGGGCACGGGTCTGGCAGCGCCCCGGGACACACGGGGCTGGCTCTGACACAGCCCCGGCACGGCTCAGGGGGTCTGGCAGCTCCTTCTCCTCCTGGCCGGGTGTCAGAGCCCGGTGACATCCGCAGCGGGAATGTCCTTCAGGCCCTGTCCCCTCGGAAGGACACGGGGGCCGGGCAGGTGTTTGTCCCCTCGCTCCTGCTGTCCTTGCAGGCACATGAGCTGGCTGGCACGCCAGGAGCAGGAATCCTTCCATGCACCCTGGAGGGACCGGTCCCGCCCCCGCCACTGTCCCCTGGTCCCTCTGATGGTGCCACCAGATGGCAGTGCCGGAGTGAGGCTCTGCCGGACACCGGGCACGGCCACCGGCAGGGACAGGGGCCCAGCGGTGTCCCCCGCCAGAGGCCACCCTACTGCCACCAGCGCCAGCGTCAGCCCCTGCGACCGTGCTCACAGAGGGCTCAGCTTGAGGGAAGAGACGAGGATCTGACTCCATGGTTCAGAAGGCTTGATTTATTATTTTATGATATATATTATATTAAAACTATACTAAAAGAATAGAAGAAAGGATTTCATCAGAAGGCTGGCTAAGAATAGAAAAAGAAGGAATGATAACAAAGGTTTGTGTCTCGGACTCTCTGTCCGAGCCAGCTGACTGTGATTGGCCATTAATTAGAAACAACCACATGAGCCCAATCCCAGATGCACCTGTTGCATTCCACAGCAGCAGATAACCATTGGGTACATTTTGTTCCTGAGGCCTCTCAGCTTCTCAGGAGGAAAAATCCTAAGGAAAGGATTTTCCATAAAAGATGTGTGCAACAAGCCCCCGGTGCCCCCGTGTCCATGTCCCTGTGTCCGTGTCCCTTTCCCAGGATGACATCCGGGCAGTGAGGGCCGCCCCGGGCCAGGCAGGAGCAGCGCTGTGCCAGCCGTGTGACAGCAGTGTCACAGTGACAGAGCCATGACAGGCCCAGTCTCACCTCACCCCGCACACAGGGAAATGTGGGATGGCACCAGAGCTCAGGGGCAGTGTTGGGGAAGATGAACCAGGAAAGCCTTAGAAATAGGATTGTCCGGCAAAAGATTTTGAGAATATGGAAACTCTAAGTGAGATTGAAATGAAAGCAAGCTCTGAGATCCCTCAGTTCCTGAACAACTGGAAAACAATGGCATGGCCAGCTGAAGGTGATCCCCTTTGGATCAAACAATCCCCTCTGCTTGCAGACAGGCCCAAGGCTCAGAGCAGACCCTGCCAGCTTGGCAGAAGGGCCCAAAGAGGAGTTTGTAGGGTTTAAAATGTAACCCAGTGTGGTAATGGAATGATTCTTATAGACTGTATGGAAATGCTGTAGGATTTGTATCTTGGACTAGATTGGTTAGTGAGAATCAGAATATTCAGCACAGAAGAAGATTTATGGTATTGTAACAGGAACCTTGCTCTCTTACCCCTTTTACTCTCTTACCCTCTCATCCTCTCTCCCCCTCTCTTCTCTCAGGCCTGCTCTGAGCTGTGGCTGGCAGCTCCCAGCAGGGCCCTGCACCCAGGCCCTTTGCAATAAACCCCAAGTTCCCAACCTGACTGCAGAGATCTCTGCTCTCCATCCATCCTGACTGTCCTAGTCCTCAACGCTCCTACAGGACAGGGGGCTGCCTGCAGCTGGGCCAGCTGGGAGCATCCCTGTACCCAAGAAAACTCTTTTTTTTCCCCCTTTGCTTCTTCTCCTGCATCCCTCAGCATCCCCCAGGCATCTTTCCCCTGGTGTGATTCATGAGGGCTCCCAAAACCTCAGGTATGGTTCATGAGGGCTCAGGGCCCCATTCCTGCCCCCGTGGGGGTTGTAGGGCTGGGGGAGCAGGGCCTGGAGCAGCCTGCCAGGGATGCCTGGGAGAACAAACCCTCTCATGTGACTGTATCTGGGACAATACCAGCTTAGCTGTGGGTGCAGCCAGCAGGAATCCTGCTGCTCCCGAGCCCTGCTAGTCATGGATAACCTACATTAGAGCAATTAATAATAATTAATCATTGGGACTGCATTTGGAAAAGCAGCTAAACCCAGGAGTGCTCTCCAAAGCATTGGGCCAGACAGGGAAATGCAGCCGTGGCACCAGGGACAATTTTGGGGTGATGGGTTTGGGGTTGACAAACCCCTGGTCTGTGGGGCTGCCCTGCCTTTGGCATCCTGGGTGCTCTGGGGTGGGATTTAGGG